GCCATTAGTCGCCCTGCCTTCAGGGGCCCCATCTGGGCTCTGTCTTCAGGGGTTTTGGGGGTGGGGGTAGGCATCTGCTTCTCCCAAGCGCCAGCTGTCGGTGCCCAGCTGGGTGCTGCTTCCCCAGGGAGCCACGGCGGCCACCCCGCAGGAGGGCTTAATGCAGGCCTGGTCAGGATGGCTGGGGGACACATGGCCTTGGCTGGAAAACCAAACCATCTGTGGTCTGTGTGGCAGGTGCTGTGGGGGTGGGGTGGCAGACTCCTTCTTACCCTCCCCCCACTCTCAGGTGCCCCCAGAAATTGAGAGGCCCAGGAGAGCATGGGACGGAGTCCTGGGCAGGCTCTGCACTGGCCGCTTCCCTCCCTGAATGAGCATGGGGGGCGGGGGGCGGGGGGGGCACTCCTGATACTGAATGAGTTGTGGGGACCTAGGATGCCAGCAGTGCAGAGAGCCCAGTAGAAATGCAGGTTCCCAGGTGCCAGTCGGCTAGAACCCTGCCTTTGAGCCCATCCCCGAGGTTCTGCATGTCTACCACAGGTCCAGGGCTGAGCTATAGGGCCCTAGGTGGACAGTGAAGGCAGGTATGAGGAATTGGCACTCCAGGGTTCGGAGTTCAGATCTTGGCTCTCCTACTTGGCAGTGGGTAGCCAACATGGGCAACTCCTATGTCCTCATCTGTAACTAGGGTCACACAGCTGGTAGGAGGCTGTGTAACAATTATTCTGACACCTGTTGTGTGCCATGAACCATGAGAGGTACCCAAGAGACAGCAGGAAGGAAAGACAAGACCGCCACCCGTGTGGGACGTGTGGTTAGTTAGCAGAAATATAAAACAGTGACTAAAATAAATGCTGGGCACCTGCAGGCTCACACCTGCGATTCTAGCTGCTCAGGAGACAGAGATCTAGAGGACTGTAGGTCATAGCTACCCTGGGCGGAAAAGTCTGAGAGACTCCATCTTCCATTAACCAGCAAAAAGCTGGGCAGGAAGCATGGCTCAAGTGGTAGAGCACCCGCCTAGCAAGCAGGAGAGGCCCTGAGTTGAAGCCCCAGAACTGATGAAAAAACAAAAACAACATCTTACAGTAAGATGATGACAGACGTAAACCACAAAGAAGAGGTTCAGAGTCACTGGAGCCTGGGGAGGAGGCAGAGGTGGGCTCCCCAGGACCACTGAAGCCTGAGTCCGCTCAGAAGAGCTGCTGACGGAAAGAGGAGGGAGAATGCTCCAGTCCATGTGAAATGGGGGTGCCAGCAAGGAGGAGAGCAAGTGTGTGCACCAATGACTTGCAGCTGGCCAACAGTTTGCTCCCAAATTGTCCCTGAGGGAGACTTCAATTTGTTGTGCAGAGCCGGGCGCCAGTGGCTCATGCCTGTAATCCTAACTGCTCAGAAGGCTGATGGTGCAAAGCCAGCCCAGGCAGGAAAGTCTGTGAGACTCTTATCTCCAAGGAACCACCAAAAAGCCAGAAGTAGAGGTGTGGTCAAATGGTAAGTGCCAGCCTTTTTTATTTTTGTCGGTCATGGGTCTTGAACTCTGGGCCTGGGCTCTGTCCCTCAGCTCTTCGGCAAAAGGCTAGTGCTCTACCACTTGAGCCATAGCGCCACTTCCAGTTTTCTGGTGGTTTATTGGAGATAAGAATCTCATAGCCTTTCCTGCCCAGGATGGCTTTGAACCGCGATCCTCAGATCTCAGCCTCCTGAGTAGCTAGGATTATGGACATGAGCCACCGGTGCCCAGCTGGGTGCCAGCCTTGAGTGATAAAACTGAGGGACAATGCTCAGGACCTGAGTTCAAGCCCCAGGAAGGGCATACACACACACACACACACACACACACACACACACACACACACACACACACACACACACACACACACACACACACACACACACAGAGTATATTGGTGTGTGTTTTCTCTCTCTTCTGGTAAAGGGCAAAAAGTTCATCTACACATCTTGTCCACCCTAGCTCTTGTGTGATGAATGCTAATAAGAGCTCAAGAAATACTTCCCAATGAGTTCTTTGGGATCTCCAGACTTTCTGGTCTTTTCCTGACCATGAACTTGTGCTTGGGATGCTGGGAGCTGTTGGCAGCAGGACCGACTTCTTCTGCACTTGACAGGGGGAGTGAGAAAGGACGGAAGGGAGTTTACAAAGTAATTGAAAAGCTAGACAGACCATGGAGAAATTATAAGTAGAAAGCCCAATCCTGTCGCAGATCATTGAAGCTAAGAGGAACGGCACACAGGAGCCCTTGGTGGGGGGGGTGGACAAATAGATCTGGGGTGGAAACAAATTAGTTTTAATGGAATTATTTCTATCATGGAGGAAAAAAAAATGGCCAGCTCAGCCAAGCCAGTTGTGAAAGTTTCGTGTAGAACTGAAATGAGGAAGAAGAGACCAGACAACTCATAGGTTTAATTTTTTTTAAGATTAATTGTAATCAGTCAATAATATGACTCGTTTGGGGACCCAGAGGCACCTAAGCGAGGCTGACTAATCTACTTAGGTTGATAATTATTGTTTGTATTCATGAGATTAAGAACCCAGAAAGATAATTTAGAGAAAGCCCCACAGAGCAAGGGGACTTTAATCCCAGCTTTTGCAGGGCCATTGCTAGGTCCTGAATGGAGGCATCCATCCCATAATACTTTCATGACTGAACAAAGGGGAGGGAGGAAGAGCATCTTCCTTGCTTTGTGTCCGACCCTGGCCAACTCTGGTTTGTCTTTGTGTAAGTACTGGGGCTTGAACTCAGTGCCTTCAGTTCTTGCTTAGCTTTTTCTTTTTTTTTTTTTTGTCGGTCGTGGGGCTTGAACTCTGGGCCTGGGCGCTGTCCCTCAGCTCTTCAGCTCAAGGCGAGCGCTCTACCACTTGAGCTACAGCGCCACTTCCGGTTTTCTGGTGGTTTATTGGAGATAGGAGTCTCACGGTCTCTCCTGCCCGGCCTGGCTTTGAACCGAGATCCTCAGATCTCAGCCTCCGGAGTAGCTAGGATTACAGGCGTGAGCCACCAGCGCCCGGCTTGCTTAGCTTTTTCTACTCAGGGTTGTTGTTCTATCACTTGAGCCATATCCCCACTTCGGGCTTTTTGCTGGTATAACTGGAGATAAGAGTCTCAGGGATTTTTGTCTGCCCAGGACTGGTTTCAAACTGTGGTCCTTAGATCTCAGCTGCTTGAGTAGCTAGGATTACAGGCGTGCGCTGCTGGCTGCTGACATAAATGAACAAGTGTGTGAACATCCACATAGCTGTCTCATTTTTGGTGGTTATTTTATTTTTTTTTTTGGTGGTTATTGGAAATGAAACAAGGCAACGAATGAACGCACATTGGCCTTGACCATAAAGGAATGCCTTCCCTTAGGTGTTAAATTTAACTCTTTCTGTGAATGAGACAGAAATATGACAGCCACTTAATGACCTGCAAATGCTACATACACTATTTAGGATTTATAAGTGCTTGAATTCTTTCTCTAACAATACCACATTTGCTTCGGTAATGGAGAGATGATTATATTGAACAAAAATGAATCATTACAAAACGGCTTAGTATTTCAGAACTCCCAAGATGCACTGAAAATCTCTACCAAGATTCTCTTCAAGAAAATAGGAACCACAGACACAGTTAGGGGCCGCCTTCAAGGCTCTCAGGCTGTTCAGAGCTTCAAGGTTCTCCACGAGAGATACCAACACACCAACACCACAGCTCCCCTTAGTCCAGCACGGCGGCTCACGCCTGTAATTCTAGCTATTTGGAAGGTGGAGGTAGGCAGATCATGGTCTAAGGCTTGGCTCTGGGCTTACGTGTGAGACTTCACTTGAAAGATAAAGACAAAAAGCCTGGAGGTGTGCTTCAAGCAGTAGAGCACCTGTCTAGCAAGCACAAGTCCCTGAGTTCAAATCCAAGCGAGGCCCAAACAACAAACAAACAAAAAATCCACCTAGCATCTGGTTCCTCCTACAGCCTGAAGCACCCCGGAGCACCCTAAAGAGAGCTTTGCCCAGGGGGGCCCCAGCCTCCGGGTGGATCACATAAAGTTGGGGGAGGGGTCAAGACTGACTATGAAGGTCACCTGGTGGCCAGCAGTGTGGAGACTCCCTCAGTTTTCACCCAGGGAGCAGCAGCAGAAAACGCCTGGGAAGCAACAAGAAGAGGAAAGAGGCAGACGAAGGGGAAGGGCGGGGAGTAGATCCATCCGGAAGCCAATGCCCGGGTGGAGAAGGAGATGCGCAGAAAGTGAAGCGAAGGAGTATGTCCCCACAGCACCGGGCAGGGAAGGTCGGTGTGGGCAGATGGTTTTGCGGGAGCGAACTTGCAGAAGTAATTGACTGATGGCACAGGCAGGTGCCCTAAATTAAATGTGTTCCTGGCCTCTGTCATGAGGCCGGCTCCAGAATGAGATGAGAACCATTTGGGGGGGGAGGGGTCTGGGGTGGAGGGGAGAGAAAGAAAATCACAGACAGCCATCAGAGTCACCGTGATGCTGGATGAGCAGGAAAGACACATGCGGGCCGTGGAGGCCACTGGGTCTCGAAGACATTCATGGTCAAGTAACAGGGCTGTGCGGATGGGTCCATGCTCGAGGACGCTGCCCCAGACAAGGAAGGAGAATCAATCTCCTCTCCCTCCCTCTGCCTCTCCCTCTCCCTCTCCCTCCCCCCCCTCACAGCTGTCAAGTCACAGGAAGCGCCTTCCTCTAGCAGTCACTCGTTTTATGTTCACAGGTGCAGTCCGACGGATGAAGACATGTCCCTTAAACAATCTGACCTGCCGCCATCTTGTGGGGAGGGTGGCCTGTTCATCTGCAGGCCTCCTCTCTCCTCTTTGCTTACGGTGCTTTAGCTTGTTCATCATTTCTTAGACATGCCATGGGGCCTTTGCACGGTGGGCCTTCTGCCTTGGAATATCTGTCATACCTGCATGACTCGCTCCCTGCTTTCTCATCTTTGCTCTAATGTCCCCACCGTGACCACACCCCTGAAGGTTATCGCCTCTTTTACCCCTTCCAGTCTCTCTCCGCAGCCACCAACTCCCAATACATCTTACCTCATCTTCTCATACTTGCGGCTTTTATTGCCTGAATTCTCCCTCTAGAATCTCAGTCCCCGTCAGAACACCCAGCCAGCGGTGTGATGGACAAGCCCCACAGAATTGCCCAGATATTGACTAAGGTAATGGATCTCTAAACAGATACGCAGAACCCTTGCGTCAGGCCAAGGTGTATTCGAAGCCTACGAGGCTGTGTGTTGTAGACAGAGCTCTTCCCTGGTGGAATTGAGAGGCAGGAGGGAAAATCAGCAGTGGAGAAGATACAGAAAGCAAGGCCTGAGCCTGGCGGAGCGTGTTGTGGGGGCGGGGTGGCTGGGGCACACTCAGCTTCCTGCCCTGCTGTTCTTGAAAGCCAAGATTGGGCGTACTCTTAGAGGTCCAGCCATCTTAGTCCAAATCCAGTCGGTCTGCGCCATGAAACAGTGCTGGCCTCCACCAAGGCCTGCCTTCTCCGTCTAAGCCCTGTCCATCAGCTCAACGGTCTTCTTGCTCTCCTTTCCCAGCACAAGGGCCCCAGCCCTTCTCTTGGCCCTCAGATAAAAGCAGAAAAGGAAGCACGAAGTTCAGCTCCAGCAACGTAAGAGTTAAATAACCCGGATCTACCCTTCTTGCCAGGTGTGTGCTGGGGGGGGGGGGAGTGGGGGAAGGGAGGGGCAATGCCCTGGGCATGGTCTGCTTGCTGCCTGGAAGGGGGGGGGGCAGAGGAGACCAAGTATTTAACTCTCAGCTTCCCAGCAGGGCGGAGAGCAAATGGAATGTACACACACACACACACACACACACACACACACCCCTGCCCCTTCTCCCCTGCTTTCAAGCAGAAGCAGGGCATGACACTGGCACTCAGACGCCAGCATCCTGCCTGAGCTGTGAATCTGTCCTGTTAACAAAACCCTACCCACCCTGCTTTTGCTGACTGAGCTCGACTGAAGGCCTCAAGCCAGGCCAGTGTCACCGGAGTCCTTCGAAGGGCTCTTGCGGTCAGACAGAGGTGGTGATGGCTCAGCAGTTTCAGGGCCAGAATCTAGGACCTTGTCCATCGCTATGGCCAGGCCCTGTGATTGGGGTTCAGAAAGCTCTAAATGAGATACAGCGTCATTCTTCAGAAAGGCCTTTGAAACAGTGGCTTAACCCAAAGGCAAAAGAAAGTGAAGTTGGGGCTTCTATTTCAAGCAGAAGAAAGAGTCCTGAGGGCACAGAGGAAAGGAAATCACTACCCAGGGCCAGGCCTGGAGGAGTGACTCCATCCCAGGGGAAAACACGAGAAAGGGGTGGAAAGCCTCCATGATGGTTTCCACTATTGCTCAGCCTGGGTTATCGGAGACCAAGGCTTCCGACTGACGCGGGGACAGGGGACAGCTTCTGGTCAGGGCTCTCACCTTCCAGGACACCAGGTATCACCTCTCATACATAGAAGGCAACATGCTAGAGGCAGAGATTTTGTCCCTCCTTTGGTCCTTTCCAGTAACTTCTCTGGTGTGGCACAACTGAGTTCTGGTAGGTGCCAGACTTACTGGCCACCAGGGGTGGGTGTCCTGGACCCTTCTCAGCATGGAAGAGGAGAGGACGGAGGAGGTCATCACTGGGTCTGGGGCCTGGGCTGTCCAGGAGACCAGAATTCCCACTGGGGAGGGGATGGAAGCAGACAAAAGCTGCTGGGGGTGGGGGAAGGGCAGGGCTCTTACTGATGGGAGCTGGGGGTTGCTGGAGGCACAGACTTGGATTCTGAGCCCATCTCGGGGCCTTCCAGCTACATTTTCCCACCTCTCTGAGCCTCAGTTTCCTTCCTGGTACAGAGGGAGCCCTACAGCACCTTCTGGGAGGACACAGGAGGACTGGAGTTGACGAAGTGTGTGTAGAATCTGGTCACTGTAGACACGGTATAAACTGCAGCCGTGACTCCATCATCATTCCTATCGAATGCAATCATTATTCATACTCCCTCCACTTGTGACTTCCTAGCTGTGCTGGCTTCTCCAGCATCTGCCCCATTGTCAGTGAACTTAAGTTAATGAAGTGATGGATCCATTTATGTGAAGAGGGGCTTGCAGGGCCAGGGAAGGAGGGTTTTCTGGAATCCACAGTGTCCCCAGTCCCCTCCCAGCCCGCTGCATCCCGCCTGGCCAGGTGTCTCATCTGGAACCAACCTGCTGCCACCCAAATGGAAATATACGTCCACGATGCCAAAGCACACACGTCTCCCTTCCAGAAAGCAGGCACACAAGCGAGAGGCAGTAATTTGGTCAAGGTGCCCAACACAAACGGCCTTTAAAGCCACCTTCTGTGATAAAACCTGGCAAATGGAAGTCCTTTCTGTTTGCTAATCACTGGAGAGTGGCAGTCACCTCCTGGCGACAGTCCTGCTGTCGTGTGAGTGCCAACATGCAGGTGTGCCCCACGCCACACTCTGAGAGTGGGTGAGCAAGCCACAAGCGAGCCATGTGCCACAGCTCTGTGAGCTCCGTGGGGCTCCCTCTTCTGATGAGGGCATGGCCCACCTAGCTTTCTTTTCTTTTTCTTCCTTCCCTCCCTCCCTCCCTCCCTCCCTTCCTTCCTTCCTACCTTTCCTTGGCAGTACTAGGATTTGAACTCAGGGCTTTTGTGTTGGACAGGCAGGTGCTGTATCACTTAGGCGATGGCCCCATCCTGGGTCACCTGTGTCTTGATTTGAGCCTTGTGAAACCCGAAGGGCCAGGACTGCATAGGGCAGGTACCAGATACCAGGAGATAGTAGCTGGGTGTTAGGGCCAGTGTGTGGTCATCTATCACCTAGCAACAGATGATATAAGCTCTTATATCCACACGATACTCACTGAGAGGAGAGGTGGTGTGGTCTTAGGTGAGCCAATAGCTTCAGACTAGCATGGAGTTGAATGAATGCGTGAATGAATGAATGGACATAAAATAAGTAAGTGAATGAGTGAACAAACATCTCGGCGAATGAGTCAATGAGTGATGGTGTGAATGAAGGCGGCAGTGATGGAATGGATGAATAAATGAGTAAATGGATGAATGGATGAAGGAACGAGCCAGCGATAGTTTCAGAAGGCAGTGTAGGGTGGCAGTTGGGAACATACAGATTATTCTGGAATCAGACAGCCTGGTCTGTCACTTGCTGACTGTGTAAAACAGGGGCAGGTTTGGTGCTTTGTATCCCAGGGTTCTTGTGAGGGCTGGACAGCTACTCTGTGGACCTCATGTGCCAGCTGTGAGCTGGGAGGTTTCAGAACTGGCTACTCCTGCCATTTTAAGGTCAGTGCCAGCAAGTCTCAATTTTCTCATCTCCAGAGTGGAGTGCTGTTGCTGCCTGCATTTTCCGCTTCTCCTCCGGGGAAGTTCTGCTGGGGGATGGGAGTAAAGGGGAGGGCCCAGTCCTGGGCAGGGGAGGGGAATGTCTGTTGGTGAAGCTGTGGGAGACAGAGGCAAGACCTTGAGGTGGGCATGCCAGCCAGGGGATTCAGAACTGAAGATGAGGGAAATCTCAGCACAGAGAGGGTGCTGAATGGACATTTTGAGATTTGTAAATTAAAAAGAATCATGGGAAACTACCAGCTGTCCTGGAAGAGGAATTTTCAAAGTCCCTGTCATACAATCATCTTCCCTGGCCTCTCAGGAGCTCAGTTGAGAAGCGGGCAACCATGGGCCAGGTGACTTGTCTTTGGTGATGGTAGTAGAGCAGAACCACGAGGAAAAGCAGAATCTCCTCACTTTCATCCATCATCCATCTATCCATTCATCATCACCCATCCATCCATCCATCATCCATCCATCCATCAGTACCCTTTCACCCATCCATCCATCCATCCATCCATCCAATCATCCACCCATCCGTCATCCATCCATCATGTAGTCATCTACCCATCATGCATCCATCCATCTATTCATCCATCCAATCTAGCTATCATCCATCCATTTATCCATCCATCCATCCATCCATCATCCATCAGTCTATCCATTCATCTATCACCCATCCATCCATCTATCCATATATCTATCATCACCCATCTATCCATTTATCCAATCTTCCATCTGTCATGCATCCATCTACCCATCATCCATCCATCATCCATCTATCCATCCATCATCACCCTTCCATCCATCATCTATCATCCACCCATCCCTCCATCCATATATCTATCATCACCCATCTATCCATCCATCCTATCATCCATCCATTGTCCATCCATCATGAGTTCATCTACCCATCATCCATCATCCATCTATCCATCTATCCCTCCATCCACCCATCCATCCATCCATCAACCACACACAGTGTACCACATACGGGACAATGGAGATAAAGCACCCTTGGGGTCAAGCACAGCTTAGGACAAGATTCCTTGAACTGTGCAGAATCTACAGCTACATCTTAGTCCTGGAGAAGCATGAGGCTTGGTGCCCAGCCTCTGTAGCATGTCACTTGCACTCAGCATCTTTTCTGTGCCTTACTTCCTGAATCCCTGGGGTGGGGTTGGTACTGAACTTACATCAGAGGTTCCTCTCAGGAATAAATGATGGGGTCTGTGCCTTGTAGGAACCCAGCATTGACCCCCATGTTGGCTGGTCCTGTTGTTATTCCACAATATACCTCTAGGGGGCAGGGCATCCCACTCCCGCTCCAGTGATAAGCTTCAAAACCAAGAGCTTATTTTCCCCTCCAGGCTAGGGGCGCAGCCAGGGATCTACAGCTGCTCTTATAGACAGCGCCCTCCTTGAGGACCATCAAGACCTTCCTGAGCAGCTGGGAGAGGCCAGGAATTACCTGAAGTGAAGGGAGAGAGAGCTCCAGGAGTGGAGCAGGTGTCTGCTCTCACTGCCAACAGCCCACTCCAGGCCCTGAGAGGCTGTGTGCCTTCATTACGCTGCTTACCTGACCAGGGGCCCCAGAGAGCAGGCCCTCTGGCCATTCAAGAATTTTCTCTCTTTGCTGTGAATTTCTCTCTTTCCCTCGTTGTTTACAATTAGCATGTATTAGTTGTACAAGGGGTTTCACTGTGATGTGCCCGTATAAGCATACCGTATATGCCCTCAAACCATCCTCTCCATCCTTCCTCCCTACTCCCCTCTACCCTCCTTGGAGCAATTTCAACAGGCTTCATGGTTCTTCAATCATATTCACTACCCTGTATCCCCTTCCTTCTGCCCTCCCTCCTTCTGCTGGGACTCAACCCCAAATAGAACCTGTTTCATATTCTCATCCTTCACTTTGAAGACTCAAGATTCCCCATATGCAAGAGGACACGAGTTATTTGCCTTTCTTAATTTGGCTTATTGTGCTCCTCATTCTGATCTCCAGTTCCATTTATTTCCCTGCAAATGGCATTATTTCATTCTTCTTTAGGGCTGAATAATACTCCCCGGTGTATATACATACCACATTTCCTTTATCCATCATGAGTAGATGGGCACCTGGCTTGGCTCTTGGGAACAGAGCTGCTATACACACGTGTGCAGGTGCCTAGACTGTTATGTTGGCTTGCATTCCTTTGGACATATGGCCACAGGTGGTGAGGGTTCACAGGGCAAAGAAGGGTAAGGCACTGGTGCTCGGAACACTGCATCTGCCTTGGCACCCTCTCTGTCACCCCTCAGTCACCTCCACCATCATCCAACAG